TCATATCGACCCACTTGCACACAGCCAAAAGGCAAAGAGGCAAAGAAGAGAGGAAGGGAACAGCCAAATGAAACAAATAGAACAGAGGGAAACAAGACAGATCCCAGATGACAAGTCCCACATGCAAGCACCGCCCGCTCCGTCAAAGGCCAAACAACGGGACAAGACCACCCAGGACAAGACATAAAAAAGCGACGATCCACAGTGTGACAACCAAGAAAAAAAGAGAAGACAATCCTGGATGTACAACAGCAAGAGTGACGGGACTCGTCTCATGGATTAGGACCACCCGACTGGCTGGTCGTCTCTAGGCAGTGTATAGACATTGGGATACTCTCATAGCCACTTCATCAGGGTCCTCGGGCCCACCGGGGACCAAGCAAGGGTAAGGCTATGACAGGCGTATAGGGGCTGGAGGGACTACCTTCTTCCCCCGAATACAACGTACGGTCATTATAGTTGTATATAGACTGAAAGATGCCTCAAATGCAGCTATAATGACCGTACGTTGTATTCGGCCGAAGAAGGTAGTAGAGAGGATGCCGATGAAGTGTAGCTCGGGAAGCACTGTACTGAGCCTGTCTCCTGAGTAGTGGCGTGGGATAGGTGGATAAGAGGGGTTTATACTTTACTAATAGGAGGGAGGTAGGCCCTCTACGCCTGTCCCAGGGGGGATCGGCTAGGGATCTGTTACGTCATAGGGTTGGGGGACAATGCTGCTTAGAGTGGGCCCGCAATACATCCAGTTGAGGTAGCCACCAGAGATTGGAGATTCTGCCCCCACAGATCTGTGGGTTGAGAAGGGATCTACAGCTTGCCACCAGAGATTGGAGATTCTGCCCCCACAGATCTGTGGGGGCAGAATCTCCAGTCTCTGGGGGCAAGCTGTAGATGTGGAAGAGACACGGATTGCCATAGGACTTAGGGCTCTAAACCCGCAGAGGACTACGTCTAAGAAGCTCCAGAGGGCCAAGCGGGTCATTCCGAACCTCGAGTGATTGAAACCCTGGAGATTACTGCCGCGCCTGATACCCTGCGAAAAATAACACCCTGGGTGTTTGAAAAAAAAAAAAAAAAAAAAAGGAGTGACGGGACTCCTCCAAACACCAAAAGACAGCATAGCAGCACACAAAGAAAAAAGAAAAAGAAAAGGGACATGATAGAGAAGAAGTGCTCAAAGGATGTAGTAATACTAATACAAATGCAATACTTCGTCATCCCTTTTTTGTTTTTCTTGTTCCTTTTAAACATTTAGAATCATATGGGGCGGGACTTGGAGTGAGCGAGGACGGGCGTGCCTCCATGAAGAGAAGATAGTGGCAGAAGATCACTCTCCTGCCGGGATCTCTCTCTGCCCTGTCCCTCTCGCCATCTCTTCCTCCCTCACTCTTCCCATTATCTTGCTATTCTCCTCTCTCTACATCCCTCTCTCTCTCTCGCTCTAGGGGTGCATCCGTTCATTAACGATCCTCAAATGCCCTCCCTCATCTCTCTCTCTCTCTCTCTCTCTCTCTCTCTCTCTCTCTCTCTCTCTCTCTCTCTCTCTCTCTCTCTCTCTCTCTCTCTCTC